CAGCGGGAGCCAGTGGGGATGGTCTCATGGAGGCACCATGAATGGCTTTGGGGCTTGAACCTGGAAGGACAGTGACTCTACAGACAGACAGACACAGCTGGGGATCCTGGGGTGACTAGCCTCTTCCCCCTCTAGGTCACCAGGGAGGCCGGAGAGGCCTTTGTCCAGGGGCTGCATGGGAGAGATGCTCCCTTTGCATCAGCACGTGGAGAGCGGTACCGGCAACTGGATCCTTTGGCCAGAAGCAGAGAGAAGCACGGGGGTGCAGTGGAGAAATGGGCACCTCCTGCTGCCCCCCACCTCCCCACAGCACCAGGAGTGCACAGCAAGGCCAGTATGGGAGGGAGGGCAGGAGGGAAGTGCCCAAACTGCCCTACTGTTTGGGAGAGTGGGTGCAGCAATAGCCCTCCCCAGCACCAGCTGTGCAGGGGAGGGCCACGCACCGCAGCTGCCTCCAGCCCCTGCATTATCTACATGTGTGTGCGGTGGGGGGCACAGAGAAACTGCCTCCCTCCCCCTGTACCAGTTATGAGAATGGGATGTACTGGAGCCCCCCATCCCAGTGACTATGAGGGAGCCCCTCTGCAAGCTGACAGCGCTGGGCCTGCACAGCCCCCTCCCTGGCCAGCTGCATGGGGAGAGTCCACAGGAACCAGCACAGAGGAGCAGGATGCTGGCTCCCCGGAGAACAGGGGTCCCGGTGGGGGGCGAGCACAGCGGGTGGCCCAGCTGTGCTGCTCTCAGACCCACTCCTGTGGCCTTGGTCCCCTGGCAGGGCTGGAAGGCAGCCGTGCGGTAAATGGAGGGCCCACGAGGAGCTAGACAGCGCTGGGGCTGGAGCCAAGCTCAGCTGGCACCACGGTGCAGGCATTGTTGTTGGCGTTGGTGTTGCGGCGGGGCAGGCTGGGGGTCAGCGTGGTGACGGCGCTGTCGCTGGGGCATCCATGCTGCAGCAGGATGTCGATGCACTCCTGGCTGCCAGCTCGCCGGGCGTAGGCCAGCGGGGTCAGGCCTCGAGCATCCCGGCTCTTCACGTCCACCCCGTACTGTGCAGGAGAGAGAGCAGCCAGTCAGCGGCACCCAGGCACCATGTGGCACTGGCACGGGGGTGGCACAGCAAGAGCACCAGCAGAGGCAGAGGGGCTCTGTGGCATTGGGGTGGGCAGGGAGAGGAACACGGGAGTGTGGGCAGGGCAGTGCCAGTGGGCACGTGGGGGAATGCGCAGGAGGGGAATGGACGAAGGGTGTCCCAAGACCTGGGAGCAAGGAGGTGCTGCAGTGCGAAAGCACTGGGACAGGGCCACAAGTGCTGTGGTGGAGGCTGCAAGGTCCCATCTTACCCAGATGAGCAGCTGTGTGAAGACTACATTGGCCATGGCGCAGGAGAGATGCAGTGCTGTGCGCCCATCTCCATCCCCGTAGGTCTCATTCACTTCCTCCTTGGTGCCATGGGCCAGGAGCGTCACCACGAGGCGCAGGTCATCCTCCACCACGGCCCGCAGCAGCTGCTGCCCCAGTGGGATGTCTGACTGGGGCAGCGGAGCTAGGAAGAGCTTCTGCTCATACTTGGCCCGGATCCAGCGCTCCTTCTCCTCCCTGCCGGACGGGACACTGTCACAGGTGGGCCAACCCACCTGGGCGCCCATACCACTGCTGCCACCCTAAATGCACCCCGTTAGCAGTGAGCGTTCGTCACATACAGGCATGCCTTGCATAGCCCCTGCTGCAGACACCTGCCCTGCTGAGCCCACCCCACACATGGCTGTCCCTGGGGCTCCGTCACGCTGCTCCGGACACATGCCCGACAAACACTTGTCTCACCGCTCCTCCTTAGAGTGCCCTATGTGCACGGTGCGCTTACGTTCATGATGTACAGCAGCAGCCTCCCGCACCCAGACCTCGCACCTGTCACCAGGCAAAGAGACACCCGGACCTCTGTGCCAGTGTTCCTACACTCCCCTGCGTGCCTGTTACGTGGCAGCACGGGGACCGTCTCTGTCCCGTGCTCGCGGGTGAGCTATGGCCAGCAGCAAGAAAAGGTTAGCTGCTGCACACGACAGCCCAGTGCCACGGGAGGCACGTTATCACTGCTGCCGTCTCGCCTGGTGCAAACAAAGGCTGCGGCAGCGTCCATCCCGCCTGGGGCTGTGGGGCCAGGCGGATCGATGTGTGCCGTACCGCTGCTATCTGCTGCCATTCTATCCATCTGCATCTGGCGGGCGGCCATCAATGCCCTGCGCGGAGCATGCTCACTCCAGCCGCCCCCTGACCCGCTCCTTATCCGTTGATAAGCCGCAGAATGGGCTCTTGTTGGGATGAGTGACAGGAGAGTCGCTCCGATAGGGACAGACAAGGGCCTGAAAGGGACGCACCCTTGAGACCCACACAACGCTGCCAAGCCATCTCTGTTAACCCCTTCTGCTTTGCAGCCAGCCATAGATCCAGCAGTCACTGCATGGTCACGGCTGGCCATGAAGCCCTGCTGGCCCACCAGGACAATGGGAGGGGGCCTCCAGTGCCCAGAGAGCAGGCAGGACCCCAAACACTGCAGTACCTCAAGGATTCCTGCCCTCTCTCTTGTTTGACTGGATGGCTGCTCCCAACCTCCTGTGGTGCCCTCAAGCCTCCTGGTGTGGTTGTCTGAGAAGCATCTCTTACCGACCGCTCTCAGGGGTAGGCTTGGGGTAGCCTTCCACTGCTCCTTCCCAGACAGCGTTGGCCAGGGCATTGCCGATGGCTGTCATGACCATGAGAAGCTCGCTAGGCCAGTCATCCAGGTCCAAGGAGCGCACACGGGACAGGTGGGTGCCCAGGTTGCGATGGATCCCGGAGCACTCAATGCACATGAGGGATCCCAGGTTCAGACTTGCCCAATCCGGATCTGAGGGTGCAAAGATCAGTGGGGGAAGAGTTAATATCAGCATGGACTCACCAGCCTGTCCCTATGATCTGCCCATATCTGCAGGCACCTGCACCTGTGTCCCAGCTGCACAGAGAGGCAAGGACCCCAGGCTGGTCAGGAAGGGGTCACAGATCAGCAGGGCAAGTGGGTCAGTGCCCCATCCCTGAAGAACGGGTCCACTGCAGGAAAGGATGGGACAGCCGCACAGAGTGGGTCTCTTTGGGTAAGAGGGGAGGTGGCAGGGGTGGAGCCCCCATCCCCTCCCCGGCTAAGCAGCCCCTCCTCCCGGTGCAGCATTTCTTACTCGGTGCGTCGCAGTCCACACAGAAGCTGTTCCCACGTGCGGTGCGGACGGCCTGCATGGCCTGTGCATCACTCTGGCTGCCCAGCCGAGCCTGCAGCAAAATACACGGGAACCCCGTTTATTCAAGGCCAGCTGCCCTACCGTGCGTTCTCTCGCCACCACCCCAAGAGCCCACCAGGCAGCTGCCAGCACCTTGCTCCAGCAGGCACCCCGCAGGCTGTGCTGCAGGAGGGTGCCCAGCACGGGGGTCCCCAGGAGCTCTCTCTCCAGGAGAGCAGGGTCTGGAGGGAACACCAATTCACAGCTGGGAGTGTGCCGGAGGAGTAGGGTGTAGTGGGCCAGGAGGGGGAGCGAAAAGGCAGAGCTGTCCACGGGGGGAGCAGACAGTGCAGGATCCAGCCCCGGTGGGATGCAGAGCTCCGTGGAGCCGGGGCCAGGCTGGGGCGGGGAGGACAGGGAGCTCAAAGAGGTGATGCGAAACCTCAAGGGGAGCAGCACAGTCCCAGGGATAGGCCTCAACCCTGACTGGGAGCAGAGGGATCAGGGTGGGATCCGGCCTGGGCAGCGCAGGAAGCCTGGGATAGGGACGGATTCAGCAAAGGACAGATGCCAGAGAGGAGGGAACAAAGCAGAACTCAGCTGAGGCCTCTTACCTTATTTTTGCTGCTCTCACAGCCCTGCAGGCTGGCCAGGATCTGGCTCTCGATAGCCTGGACCCAAAGCTCTCGCTCCTCTGACGTTGAGGCCTCAAAGAGCCACGTCTGGCCCGTCAGGGACACGATAATGAACTCAAATGGCTCATCTGGTTCTGGAAAAGAAAGGTGTGCCAGGACGTGGGTCAGGGAAGGAGGGTGGCTGCCGGCCTCGCAGAGCATGATCACACAGACAGCCCCCCGCGGGCCATCGCTGTGCCCACACGTGGGCAGCGCCGCTGGCAGCAGTGGTCCCCAGGAGGCTGGGGCAGGGGAGCACAGGCACAGAGCGCCTGCAGGGAGGAACCAGAGCTCTGTGCCAGCCCGTCCCTCCTGCTGCTCGCGCAGCTCCCTGTGCGCCAGCTCCACCAGCATGGGCTCGCCCTTCCTCCCGCACACGAACATCTGCGGCCTCGTTCCCCCACCATCCTGGGCTGGGGAACCCCAGCAGCATGCTCCTGGAAGCTGCTTGCACCCTGCTCTCCATGCCCTGTGTGTCCCACCCTCGGAGAAAGCTGCTGACCCGGCAGAGCGGTGAAATCAGCTCCTCCGCAGAGTTGGTGCCCACAGACAGCCCCATCAGCCCCCCAAAGGCCCACAGAGTGCTGGGTGCCTGCTGATGAGTGGCTTCAGAGGGACAGGGCCCCGCACACTGCGTCAGGAGATGCGAGGAGGGCCCTTGTGGTGGGCTCAAAGACAGCTCTTCACAGCCCTGTGCCATCCAGAAGGGCAGCCTCGCCAGCTGCGGAGCGCAGCAGGGCAGGGATCGTGCCCGGGAAGCCCTCAGTGCCTGGGCGTTCCACGGACCCACACGACAGGGCACAGCTGCTGCTTTCCCTTAGAGAAGCATCAAGTCACAGAGACCTGGGCAGGAGCCATGGAGGAGGCAAGACTGATGCCATTCTCAGCTCCGGCACCTTTCAGTGCCCTGCGGAGCTGGTGGCCTCCGGCTCCCAAACCTGGGAAGCTGGTGGCCACGCAGAGCTGCTTCCATGAGGCTGGTGGATGGCCGCAGGGACACACGCAGGGCAAAATGCCCGCAGGGCAGAGCCAGGCGACCTGTTTGCCAGACACCTCAGCCGCTCCTCTGCACAGCGCTGGCATCTGCGCCCCGCAAGCAACCCCAGAAGGTACAGCCTCAACACCAAAGCACTTCTGTGGCTGTGAAACACGTGGCGACAGTCCTGACTTTCGGTCTTCAGGGAAGATACTTTTGGTGAGCCCCAAGGGTTGCTCAGACCGGCAGGCACTTGGAGGCTGGAATGCAAACGGCAGCATTAGCATCCCTACAAACGCAGGCTGCCTGGTGGGTGTCCAGGGAGGGTGTCAGAGCACAGGCACCTCTGCGCTGGGTGGCAGAGCAGATGGGGGACAGCGAAAATGTGTGAAAGCACCTCAGGCCTGTTGGGCCTAAGAAAATGGTGCCAAAACAACCGAAAGCCCGCTGAAAACCAAGGCTTAAAATGTGGTCTCCCCCTCTGGCTACTGCTCTTGGGCTGCTGGGGGTGGGCCGCCCGCCCCGCCCAGCCTATGCCACGGGCTGCACTGAGCGGGTGCACGGGCCTCAGATTTCCATGGGGTGCCTTGCCTCAGCTTTGCACCCAAGCACCAGCATTTACCTTTTATTGCCAACTTCAGTAGTTAGTGCAGTAAATGACTTAACTAAGCGGGGCCTGAATGGAATGACTAATAAACGTTATGTCACAGCACACGCTTCAGCTCATAGCAAAATGATTTGTAATTACCTAATTAGCGTTATGCAAATAACACCCTCATCTCCATAATGTGCCTTCCCAGCTCTCTATTAAAAGCAGGGAGTCAACTGCACAGCTCCAGAGACGGCATGGAGGCTGAGGGGCCCAGCCTGCCCCACAGCAAGGCAGGGCTGGGCTGGGCTGGGCCCCAGCCT